TCCGTTCGTTTTCACATAATTGAATGTTTTTGTTGTCAAAATGAGGACCAAATTTAAAATTTTACACTTGACTTGGTTTTGTTGTCATGCAATTTGCACACTTACGTATTATTTGCCATGAAATCCTTATCAAAAGTGTGAATATGTTTCTATTATAGTTTCATTTATACATAAATAATGATATATACACACAAAAATATTATAAAAATAGTAATATGTTGTCGTAAAGTTAGACTTATGGAGATATTTACATTAAGACTGAAAAGTTTTCGGAAATTCTCATTTAAAATTCGCGCGCTGTATATTTTTCGATATTTTAAGTTTATGTAGTTTGGCAGCACTGTCCTTAATTACTATGCCAAAAATGAGCTCGATCTGTCAGACAGTTCGTTTACGGCAGCTGTTGAAACCAGTTCACCTCAGTAGTGCGTTGCGAAATGTCTTCGACGGTCGTACGACCGTCCTGGAAGGCTTTGTACCACTCATAAACTTGAGTTTTCGATAAAACTGATTCCCCATAAGCCTTTTGTAGCATTCGCAACGATTCTGCACACGAAATTTCGTTCGAAACACAAAATTTGATGCAAACTCTTTGTTCAATATTTTTTTCCATTGTTTTTTTCGCAACGCACTACTGAGGTGAACTGGTTTCAAAAGCTGCCGTAAACGAACTGTCTGACAGATCGCGCTCATTTTTGGCATAGTAATTAAGGACAGTGCTGCCAAACTACATAAACTTAAAATATCGAAAAATATACAGCGCGCGAATTTTAAATGAGAATTTCCGAAAACTTTTCGGTCTTAATGTATATGCAATTAATTGATCAAACGTTATACTAATAGAGATTGCCAATAATCGATAATTTGTTTATCAAATAAAAATATTAATCAGAAAGCATACTAGTTAAGTTGTATAATTAAACGAAATCATATTTCAAGATGAAAATGACCATCGATGAATACTGAAACATTGAGCTTGTTAATAAATTTAAATAAAATTTATAATTAAATAAAACCAACAACATTCTCAGATCTCAGTATTGTTTAAGATATTTGGTTTTATAATAAAATTTCATTAATTAATTAAATTATTGAAAAAGTTTTGGCGGAATTGACTACTTATACTGTTTTCCAGTTTTCCAGCGTTTTGTAAGACAGCAAGACAAGGAAATAAGGACGATTATATAGTAATATGAATTAACTAACGTTTCATTCAAATCATGATAATAAAGAAAATAAGCAAATCTAGTTTTATTAAACCATATATCACAGCTAATAGCCTGATTTATTGTTTAATAGTCTCCCAGGTTACATCGCTTAATTTTTAATTATCTATGCTAAGATGTCCCTAAAATCAATTTATTTTTACAGAAATTAAGATTGGCCAAACGTTGACATATAGTAAAATTGTTATAAAGGAAATCCAAATTCACTTATATGGTCAGAATTTGATATGTCAATCGATTTTTCTAAATACAAATATAATTCTCTTCGTGATTCCCATTTAAAAAACGAACTTTATTTTATTTGAAAAATAATAAAGTTAACCTAATGTCTACCAACTTTTAAGTAATATCTTATAGAGAATACCTTTTGATCGACTCGACTAAGTTTTATTAACACGAGAGAACTGCCCATTGGTGAACTAAGTTACCATCGTACTTTCTACATATATTTTACTTCTGTTATAATTAATTATTTTTTCTCATTATTATTTTTATAATAATTATTTTCATTATTTTCTACGACTGCCTTATAAAAAATGGTTTTGCTCATAATATATAAGTGTACAATATGTACAGTACTAAACCATTTTATAAGCAATTTTAATGTAGCTATATACATTTCTGTACATGATTACTTGTTTTTCAAGTCCAAAGTTCGATAGTGTAAATAAGTCTCAAATAATTTTTTTAATTAACAATTATTAAATAAAATTATTCTAAAAATTTCTATATTAAAAAAACGTTAATATACCATATAATGATTTTTTTTTTATTCATATATATACATTGTGACCGAAAGGTTTTCGGAGGTTCTCATTTAAGATTCGCGCGCTGTATATTTTTCGATATTTTAAGTTTATGTAGTTTGGCAGCACTGTCCTTAATTACTATGCCAAAAATGAGCGCGATCTGTCAGACAGTTCGTTTACGGCAGCTGTTGAAACCAGTTCACCTCAGTAGTGCGTTGCGAAAAAAACAATGGAAAAAAATATTGAACAAAGAGTTTGCATCAAATTTTGTTTTTCGAACGAAATTTCGTGTGCAGAATCGTTGCGAATGCTACAAAAGGCTTATGGGGAATCAGTTTTATCGAAAACTCAAGTTTATGAGTGGTACAAAGCCTTTCAGGACTGTCGTACGACCGTCGAAGACATGCCGCGTTCTGGACGACCTTCGACCTCTACCACCGACGAAAACATTGAAAAGGCAAAGGAAATCGTGTTCAAAAATCCTCATGTGAGTGTTAGAGAGATAGCACGAGAGCTAGGCATCGGTCGTGAGATGGCTCGTTTGATTTTGGTGGACAATTTGTGTATGCGACGTGTCAACGCCCGGCTTGTTCCGATTCACCTCAATTTGTTCAACATTATCAACGATTTTAAGGCCAAACATTCAATAAATACCATCGAACAGCCACCGTATTCACCTGATCTTGCACCGTGTGACTTTTTCCTGTTTCCCAACCTCAAATTACCACTCAGAGGAACGCGTTTTGAATCCATAGAAGACGTAAAACAGAATTCGCAGAGGGAACTCAAAGCCATACCGGAAAGCGCCTATAAAAAATGTTTTGATGATTGGAAGAAACGTTGGCATTTGTGTATCGCTTCTAATGGAGCATATTTTGAAGGAGATAAAATAAATATTGATGAAGATTAAGAATTTTGCGTTTTATTTAAAACTTCCGGAAACTTTTCGGTCACAGTGATCATCATAATAGCTTACATGTATGAATAGAATTCTGAAAATGAATATATGAACTGCTATTCCTACATTAAACACACAGGGTTGCATTTAAATGGCATGAATGATCTCTAAAATTGTTTTAAATAAATTATTTTGGCCAACAATGCACTACTTTTGTTCTATTTAAAGATGTATATAGATGAATATTACAGAAATATAGATAGAAAAAGGAAGTTTTTATAGTAGTTTGTTTTATTATATTATCAAATAATTCTAAATAGTATTATTATTTATTACCTTATGTAGTATTATCATTAATGATATATTAATGGTAAATATATCGGTAATGGAAGTAATGGCCTCTTAGAGCCATGAACTGTTTAATACAATTTGTTCTGAATTTTAGAAAAAATCTAATGAAATGTTTTCCGTATATTTATTATTTTCTTTTATGAATGTAAAAAATACAAAATTCAAAGTTTTTTTAATTTAAATATTTCAAAACATAAATACAAGAAGTACTTTAGAGATGAAGGCTTTCAAATTAAAAAAAAAAAACATAAATTGAACAAATAATTTTAAGTTATTCGTTAAACAGTTTTTTTGGTAATAATATAATATGTATCACAATATCACAATATATCAGCAACATATGAAAAAAAAACTGGTGTTCATGACTTTATTCAGGGCATCATTGACTGTAATGTTAGGATTTCGAAGATGGTCTTCTTTACTTCGAATGTGATAGTTGTTTTTATCAACAATTTTATGGAAAGTGAAGTAAAATTTGTAGTCTATTGATTTCGTACTCTGTTTTTATTTTTACAGATAATATATAGCATATATATATTATAGCAAATATTTATAGCATATAGCATTTACAATAGTAAACAGTACGCCCTCGGATTATGCTAGTTGCAGGTAAAATAAAAATTAAACAGTCTTTTAACATCAGCTTACTTGCGCTAGTTGGTTGGAATGTATCTAATATATGGACTATGTGAGTATAAGCTTAATTCTACTTCGTTCGTGGAAGAACAGTTATATGAAATGTGTCGAGAAGAAATGTTAGATTGCGAAAAAAAAATTAAGATTGTTTTTGGTACTATATTCTTCCAAAACTTTATGCGCTTGCTCTTATATAATACCCAAATCTCATATAAAAATAAAATCTGTCACATTTTCAGGTTAATATTCTGTTGTCACGAGAGAATACATAACTCTCCCGCATCAATGAAATAATAAATCTTTACAATTTGTGTAGAGATGATGACATCACTTTATAATAAATATTTGAAATATGTAATTGGAATCAACCCAATTCTAATTTCAGTGAAATTATTATAAATGTTTCATCCATTTTTCCTTTTGATAGACCTTAAGAATTCTGCAAATGATAACCAGTTTGATCTATTGTATGCCTTTAGTCACAGTTCGATAAACATTTTCCCAGTTTGAGTAAGGGCAGTTCTCTCCCACGCTACTCAAGATCTTTTACAAGATTTCGTACTATGTGGGGTCCAAGTTCGCGCTGGATATGACCAGGATATGACCAATCAACCACCATCCAATTAAATATTTCCTATAATGACTATAAAATGAATGAATTGGTTCCGAAATGATATTTTACCAAAGTGCATCAACTGCACAACGATTCGATACAGTCCGTAAAATTATCATGTGTTATCTACAACCTATTTAATAACCTTATAATATCGAATTATTATTAATAAAAATGCATAATTTTTTATAATTATAATTAATTTTATTTGTATCCTTTTGATTTTGACTTTGACTTAGTAACAATAAGTACATAATATTCTAATACTATTAGCAATTAATTGTTTTAATGTCTTAAGACTATTCATAACTACGTACAAGAAATAATTTAAAAGTAATAGGATATGCACTCTGCAAACATTATTACAGAATTTTTAAAGTTTATTTACAATACAGAAATTATTTTATTTATTTTTTTATATGGCAAATAATTAAAGCAGAATTTTTATTTTTATGAATAACTTTTTACAATAATTGACAAATTCACAAAACAACAAAATGAAAAAAAAACAATAAATAGTCTTTTAGCACTAAAAGAGAGTAATTTTTACTCGAGCACTGTAAGTAGTAATTATTATTTATCCTAACTTTGCACTGGCCCGGTCTAACGTTATCATCACATAGAATTTTCTTAGAATTATGAAAAAAATTTCGTCTTTGGCTTCAGTTATCTTGGCTGAATTACGCTATTTACGCATTTCCATGAGTTGCAACAATTTATGTTGCATTTTGCAATTTTATGAATGAGAATGACTCAGATGATGCGCGCCAAGCGGATGAAAGTAGGGTCCATATGGTGGATAGGGAACAGCATGTGAATAAAGTAAACTGCTGGCATAAGCACCTGGTCCAAAAGAGCCACCGGTTGGTGGTGGTATCGTAGGACTATTCACATCCATGCCTGGATTTTGTTTCTTCCATTTTGTGCGACGATTTTGGAACCAAATTTTTACCTAAAAATAAATAAAGTTTTTCCTTTCAGTTCAATGTAGAGAAAATATATTCATATATATATGAGAATATAGTAATAGAAATACTAGATTAGAAAAAAATAATTCAAGACCTAAGACTATCAGGCTGATTTATTGAATTCTTTGTACAGTTTAGATTTTACTGAATATATATATGTATATATATTTATTTTTTAAAATTTACGGAATTAATTAGTTTGTGGCCCTGAATTGACTGAACTACAGTTTATGGTTTATTAAGGTTTTATTTATATTATTTACAGCGTGTTTTTTAGATGCATGATATCTATTTATATCGATAACTATTGATATCGATAACTATGGTTTGATGCCTGATAGTGTCAAATTGTGTTGACATTTTTTCAGTAAGGTTTGGCAATTCTTCTTGAATCGTTTAACGCTAGAACAACGCTTCCAAATTGTGGAAAATCACTTTGATAAAAATATATCTGTTCGCGAAGTTTCTAGAGCATTTCGTCGCCTATCCATTTAGAAATCTTGAACAGAAAGCATACGCAATTCATAATAAAAAAAATATAGTATCAAACAATAGTTAATTATCTTCTCTCTAAAGTGAACTTTATATACTTTAAGACATATGTGTTGTGCTAAAAATTTTTGAGACATGCCAATTGCTGAAGATCTTGCAATCAGTCACAACCGGACTAGTAGTGAATTGTCTTCATGACATTATCAATTTAGTTTCATTAAAACCATTAACAGTACAGATATTTTACATATTTATTAGAGATTGTACCATTTGATATATATATTCCTAAATATATCTTACCTGTGTTTCTGTTAGACTTAAGCTTAGTGCTAAATTCAAACGTTCGCAGACGCTTAAATAGCGCGTTGTCTTAAACTTATTTTCCAACGATACCAATTGTTCATAGGTAAATGCTGTACGTGCTCTTCTGGGTTTTGAACCACCACCACCACCACCACTTTGAGATTTTCCATCACCATTACGACTACCACCTTTCTTTGAGTCTGTTTCACTGGCTCTATCATCGATATCACTGCTCATGCCATCATCACACATATCATCCTGATCCATGTCATTAAGATCTTGAGCTAAAATTAAAAATAAAAAAATTAATGAAATGAATTAAATATTTAATTGAAGTGACAGTTCAATTTATCAATACTTCTGCTAATCAATTAATCAAACAATCCATCATGTTAAGAAGGTCACTTAAGATATTTATTTATCCATATTTAAGTCATTATTATGCACTGCATTATGCGTATCATCCTAATAGCTATTAACAGACGTAATTGAATTGGAGGCAACATTACTGAAATCAATCACAAAATGGGCCAACAACAAGGATATCGTAAATATTTTACACAAAGTAAAAAGGACAACAATAACAACAAAAAGGAAAAAAAGCAGCTACAAAATTTCAATCAAAATCATTGAATTAATTGGAAAAACATTTTCACATGTTATTGCACATGTGGGCACAATTACGTAGTATGCCTGCGTAGTAGAACATAGTATCTAGTATCTAGTGACCAACATCCTATGCCGAATTGATTGCTATGATGCAGCAATCACAATTCCATTTTAATTTGCTCTGCTTCCGTCATTGGTGTGTATGAGGTCAACGATTGCTTTTCATGCTAATCTTGCGCAATATTAGGCAATTTTCGTTAGGAAAACATAAACAAATTGTTCAAAAACAAACGTAATTTAGTAACTCTTATTGAACTTGTTTTTGTGTAACTACACAGTTTTTGTGAATTTTGTTCACATTTGATTCAACATAATTAGTGAAATCGTCTTGCAATTAGCTTGAAGT